TCTTAGTAATATAAAAGAGTGCATAAATGACTTTGCATATGTCTATACATAGTGATATGGCCAATGGCCCATGGAGAAATATATTTTCCCACTCGTAGATCAACACAATAATATTAGTTTACATTTCTATACAAGCTAATCACATTTGGGCCAACCATACAATTTAGCCTGCAAAAAGGCCCAAACCATATCACAGTTGCAAAATGAATTCAACTTCACATATATTCTCAAACAAAAAGGCAGTGTTTGCAAACACTTTGTGCTTTTGGATTTGTCGCCATTTTTTCCCCTTTTTTCTTCTTTTCTTGTTTGCAAACACACTTACCTAAAGAATCAGATGACAGATAATCGATAGCCAGTTAATTTCTTATTAAATCTAAGGAATTGACAAAATCGAGCTCTTGAAAGGCAAATGCTTCTTCTCTTTCTCGATCATCACTCATCGATGACCTTCCATGAGATCGGCTAGATAGATTTTCCCGCAATTGCCAGATTCCAATCTTTCAAACTGTTTACAAATTTGAAAGATTTCTCTCTCTGAAACTTTGCCCATCTCCTTCAGCATGTAGATTACATACTCCGATTTACTGCACGATCGATCAGAAAAGGATTGAAATCTTAATAAATTTATCATTTTGTCACCAAAAATATTTAATTAGAGCCCTTCAATTCATCTAAATAAACTGTAAACATGCAAAATGAACTGAACTCTTCAGAGGTAGCCAGCTAACTGAATTACTGAACACATATCAAGAAATGAACTGAATAATCAAGTGACAAAAGAAAAAAAAAAATAAAATCCAATCGATAGATACACACACTGAACAGAGACCCATTAAAGAGATCGATTGCCTCATTAGTGAAGAGAATCCTTAGTTAGAGAAGCTGCACTAAAAATCATATCCAATCCAAACCACAACACTCAATCACATAGCTGAGAATAATCACAATTACAACAACGAGAATACAATATCATTACTAAATCATAAGATTGTAAACAAAATTGCCCCACAATTACTTAACTCATTATCGTCACTTTTCAAATGTGTTCAATTACTGATAGATTTTTCCTTCAAGTAACCCAGATACATAGTATGGTTGATAAGCTCAAAGAAAACTAAGGAAATATCATCACAAATGCAATCAGATTCTCCTAAACTACCACAAACCTTCAATCAGCACAAAAACAGACAGTATACCATAAAACCTTGATCGGACAATACACTAAACTAAAACAAGGAAAAACGAGTATTAATCACTAACCTCACAAACCCATTGTTCTCAGTATCAGCTGCAAGAAACTGCTCCACAGTCATATCTTGGCTGAGCACCCACTTAGCCATCATCCTATGCCTTTTATCAACTCGAGCCTCGGCCAAGTAAAGAAAAGCCCTAGCAACAGCAAGAGTCGAAACAAGAAGCCAAACGGCCGCAAACACTCGACCAGCCAATGAATTAAAAACCCGGTCACCATATCCAACTGTAGTCACGGACATAACCGACAAGTACAACGAGTCTAACCAGCCGAGCCTCTCGACATAATACATAAACATAACCCCGATTCCTATACAGAGAACCACAACACCTAAAGCTAATCCGACCTTCATTCGTATCCTCATTCTTCCCTTTTTTGCATCAATTATATAAGATCCCTTGATAGTCCTCAACAGATAATTCTCCTGCAAATCAAGCGTGTAGCTAAGCATCCCAGTTAACAAAATGTCGATAAAACCAAAGCCCACGAGCACGAAAGCGATCGAGAAAAGCTTTGTGGCTGTACTATCAGGGGTTATATCGCCATACCCAATAGTGCACATAGTGACTATGCAGAAATACAGAGCATCAACAACAGGATGGGTTTCGTTTCCCCTAAAATTTTCCTTACTGAATGAGTATATGAGCACGCCGAGGCTCAAATACAGAATCAAGAGCAAAACCCCCTGTCTAACGATCGATGGCTTACCGAATTGCGGCGGCTTGGGCGGTGGAAATTGTTGGTCGATTTCGTTGATGTTGACCATGGCCGGCGCGGTTTTGGACCTGCGGAGACTGGTCTTGGCGGCGGAGTGGTTAGGGTGGACCAACCGAGGGTGGTGTTGAATTTCTGTGTCGAGATTGGGAAATCGATAATCGGAATGTAGTCTTTCGTTGGCGCGAATTTCCGGCGAGGGGATGGGAGTTTGGAGCTGGGATGATGAGTCAACCTCGGAGCTAAAAATGGGTCTCTCGTTTTCGGGTGGGAGGCGGAGTGGCGGCGGCGGTGGTGGCGGTTGGGTTTTCCAGGGGATGTGTGAGAGAAGTGGCTCTTTTTCCATGTGGGAACTGGTGGGAAAGGGGGCGGCGGAAGGAGAAGATTCGCCGGAATATTCGGAGATTCTGTTTGTGCTTTGCTTGTGCGGTGGCGTTTTTGTGAAGGCGAGGAAAGTTTGTTTTATGGGGGAAAAAAGCAGGAATTTTGAAGTGAACACGAAACAGCCGGGAATATTTAATAATTAAAATACATACTTATTCATTTTTATTTATCGGCTAATGGCTGCCTTTTCAATAATTTCAATTTTTTAATTGAGGATGCATCCAAAAACGCATTTTTCTTGAAGGTTTATCCATAAAAGTGTTACTTGCAATTTGCAACATCCTTTTCAGTCAATTACTTTCCAAAATAGCCAGNAAATCTGAATACTCTTGGATATCCATTTAAACCAAGCTATTCAACTCCATTTTCATTTATTATTTTCTTATCTTTATAAAAAATAATAATTGATAGTGATGTGATATGAAAATAGTAAAATAATAATAAATAGTCATAAATAAATTAGTAAAAAATAGTAAATTTTATAGTTAAATGCGTACTGATATTTGATTCTTAATTTAAAAAATTATATTAAAAAAGTGAATAAAAAAATAAAAAAGGATAATTGCATTGGATACTTATAGCATGTTTATTTATAAGAAATTTTCAAAAAAAATTCAACATTTTAACTCAACCACTTTGTTTAACTCAACCCCACTATCATCAAAATTATTAATATAATTAAATAATATCAATTAATCATTCATACACACCACATCAACCTTAATTCACTATTCATCCACTCACATTATTTTAACTAACCATCATTTCAAATCTTTTTCTTCTACTTTTATATCAAATCAATTTTAATTATTTTATTATAAATATTTATTTTAATATATCCACTAACAACTAACCATACTACATTTTTCAAAATTAACGAAATCAAATCAAAAAATCTAAACAAACCAAAAAATTTTATAAACAAACATGCTCGATGATTGTGCCAGTATAAATAAAAAATAACATTTACTCTATAATTGTTCGTTTTTGCTCGACCCTTCAAAGCGGCCCACAATTTACAGTACAAATTATTAATTTTTGTTCGAAGCTAAACCGGCCCACTTAGAAATGTGTGTTTCAATATTAAATGACACAAGTAAAAAGCAGACAACGATTCAACTCAACTCAAAAATGATGCAGAGGAAATTTACGAATAAAATTGCATCAGCACCTTTTCAAACTTTAAAAATCTGCATACACACTAAAATCTCAAAAACAAAAGAAAAGTAAAAAAATGGGCTTTACACTGGGCATAAAATTGCTCCTCGTAGCAGCCATGGTCGCCGCCAACCTCCTTTCCCTCTACCACCTCTCCACCACCGTCCTCCCCCGC